TAAAAAAACTACTCAACATGATCTCAAACTCCCTTACAATTTGTAAATAGTCAGCTGGTTTTTCATCGAAACATTGAGGTTCGCGTTTAGAAAGCTTATTATTTCTATTATCCCTAGACGACGAAACATGAAGAACAGACTCATCATGCTGAGCATCATAAATATCATTACAATTAACAAGCAACTCAGCAATACTTACTTTCTTGCCTGCTTCCGAGACGCTCTGTCCCTACTTTGACCCAGGCATCACTGAGAATAGAAGGGATGTTGAGGGTTAGACAGTATAGATTTAGACCGTTTCTCGCATGAGTTTAGATGTCTTTTAACTAATACATTAAAGAGTTGACGAAATGGTACACCACTTGCCCTTATGACAACCTTAATACCCTACACAATACGACATAGTCGTTTTTGAGTAATTCAGGAAAGAATAAGGGGGAGCAGTGAAGACGAATGCAAGAGTTAACAAGTTGTAAAAAGAGAGGTTGAATGATTCCTGACTGTCTTGACTCATAACATGGTAAGCTAGACTGAAGGTTTTCTTAGAAATCGACAAGATATAGAATGACCAAGAAAGACCAGAGGATAGGTTTACTCCAAGGTATTTTATGTTAGACTTAGTTTCTGTTTCAGCACCCTCTTTGATACAAGCATCTTGTGAACGACACAGTTTTCGCAGTTCACGCTTATGAGTGAGGGGAAAGTTAGCTGCCTGACATTTAGAGGGATTTAACGTAAGACCACGTACTTTAGACTACAGAAAGGAAGCAGTTAAGTTTGCTGCAGTCACATTGTAACATGATAGGAAGTGAGACGGTCAGATCACCAGCATATTTGACGAAATTGCCCTCATTAGAAAGAGAAAAGTCATGTAAGACGAGAGAGAAAAAAGAAAAGGAGAGATAACAATACCCTGAGGAACACCAGCTTCAGCAAGCGAGGCGGATGATTTACCCCAATATACAGTATGCTGCATTCCATTTGAGAAATGATAATGCAACCAGTCAACTGCCCAGGACCCGTGTTTGGACGATCGAAACCTTATTCAACTGAAGTCATCTAGGTCCTGAGTCAACAACAATGGCATATGCTGAATGTCCGAAAGCTAAGCACAAAATGGCAAAGCACAAATCCAGTTGCAAAGTAGGAGACGAGTCCCGGGTGGAAGAAGAGATTACCGAAAGGTATCTATTTTTCATTTAGCAAAGAACGAGATTAAGAACTATACTTATCATTTGTTGAAATTTTGGAGATCATTTATCAATATTTCACATTTAATTACGCCTAGACTGTGTCATTCTGACTAGCTTTCAGTATGAGTTTGCAGAGAAGTCCACCTGTTTAATTTACCACATTCCATTTAGCACACAAAGGTAGAGACATAAAACTAAATGGAAGTTTATCGAGCGAAAATGTGAGAGAGAATAAATAGTGACAAGGAAAAACATGAGTTGAATAGATACGTGAGATTACACAGAGTGAATGCACCTGTACTAATACCAAAGATTTGCAGTCACATCTCCGGTAGTTCTTCCAGCTGACTGTCAACAATTTTATGAACCAATATCACTTTTTTATTTGACCGACCCAAACACACTTTAAACCTTAACATGTGCTGGCTAGCATTGTCCCTGGAGGAAGGCGACGGCTTAGTATGCCAGCACGTGTTCTAGCCATCTCAACCTATTCAGCTTCCCTACCTTGAAGGCTAACTAACCCTCCCCACCTAAACATTTATGCGTAACCTCAACAGCACTCGACATATTATACTGCTTTACTCATAAGATAGAAAGCGGACACCTATAATCAAACACCGGTATTATTTTCATATTTTACAGCATTAGGGGTTACTTCTCATAGTCTAGGTGGGCAATATCATCAGTAAACTGTGAGTTGATGAGACTATTCCCTGATAAGTCTCTAAAGTCAATTACAGACTATTCTACTAATATATGTGTGATTGAATTGAACTTTTATAAGGATGGCAGTTTAAGAATTCAGCCTTGTATTACACCCCACTCGGAAATGTGTTTTCTCGGATAATTCGCAAACAGTAATCACTGAATAGAAAACATTCTGTAGGCTTAATGAAACTCGTAAACTGACGCACTACTTCTGCAGGCATTATATTGTTTCCTGAATAAAGTGAGAATTGAATATTTCGTCTGCATAAAGCGAGTAAGTGGTATCCTGGCAATACCAATGACTACAACAAGTCTAGGAATTATGCACTGCAACTTTTGCTTTATGTAAATTCTGCTCGAGTATTCAGTAAATTTACCGAAGCACTTTCGGTTTCCATAAGAGTTCTCCGTGCTGAATTTATTACTTTAAGTGCATACATGTATACATGTAATCTGTGCACACATTACAACTTCAATTAAATAACAATGACGTGGAGGAAATTCCATTCTTCATTAATAAATTTAATGAAAATAATCATGGTTTTCATTCTAAAAACAGGAGAATTCGTAATGTTTTACTTTATGTAAATTCAGTTACATACAGTTGCACTAAGAACTCAGGGCACTCGATACACAATAGTATATATACAACTAAAATGAAAAATAATGTTCTGCTTACCTTACCAACAACCTAACCTTATTCCAGGAGTATAACTTTCTTTCACCTAGGAGCCTGATTTATGTCAATGAAATCGTAATATTACATCAGTTGAATCTTCCCCCAAAACCAAGGCCGCCTGAAACCAATAGCAACATAGCAACAAGCGTCATTGTGGGGATATGCAATAGAGTCGCCCTGTAGGCTTGGTAACTGAATTATATTGAGTTGTGCCTTCAAATATTTTTTCTACATTCCTATCATCAAGGAACACACTTGAAAGCGAGTGAATCTATTATCACACCTCCACTACCTGGAAGGTGTTAAGCATTTGACTGGAAAACTGATAACTTCTGGAACTATTAGACTGGCATAAATGACCTTACTTTGCAAATCAGTTCCACTGCGACCTACTGATTATTGCATACGATACGAAGACCAGGTCACAGACAGCATCTGAAGAATAGTGAAATGTGAAGCACCTATGAAGGCGACATGAAGATATAGCCCAATAGTAAGTTCATGATTAACAAATATAATTGCGACTGATTTTTCAAGAAGAGGTTTAGATTATTCGCTAAGTCAATGTGCTGTCTCACGCGAATACTCCACTATGTGTTGTAAACTGATGCAACTGGATGCAATACTGTAGTAAAATGCTGAGAATTCCATCTTGTATGGCAAGTACTGTTTTGGAATAGAGCTATTATCATTCATTCGTTCATTCATTCAAAATGCAATACGAACTATATATACCGTTTATCAACTGTTTGTGGGTTACAACCCCGTGATTTCGTTTTTGCTCTATGTGTTCGCAGTGGAACATAAAGCTTCAGTAACGGTGGGATTACAGCCCCACACTCAATCCACTTTTAGTCCTAGCTTAGTGCAACATTTAGTGGCGAGTTGGCTAGTAATCAATGCCGCACCAAGTGCGTGACTGGTGACTATTGTACCGTAGGACCACTGACGTTAAGATTGCAACTACTACCCTTTCGGTTTCAGAATACATTTGAATATAAGCTGACATTAGTCCGAAGTCGAATACGATCGGTGAACACCCGTTTTCAGATATAGCTGCGTGAAAAACGCTGACCTTAGCTTTCACACAAACCATCTCGAAATTACAGTCTAAGTGGCAGTTGACTGACACACGTTAGCGCGATGTGTTGGCAAAGATACCTGCTCACTTGAAACATGGCATCTATGGAGGGTGAATCACAGTGCATCTAAATGAATTGAATGTTGTTCCACTGAGAGGTGAAAAGTTAGTTACATGAGTGGTTTTGATTGAATTCTGCTGGAGACTGAGTGGTGAGTGTTTAATAGACGCTGAATTGTACGGCTCCTTACTGACCCACTGGGGCTTCTCGGTAGCTACTCGAGACATATGTCCCCGAATAATTCGGATGAAATACGCCGGTAGGGCAGACACTCCGTCCTTCAGCATCGTTATTAGTACACCAGATCACTGCTCAAAGCGGTGGGTTTACCTCCACCAATAAGGGAACTCGACAAGCTCTACAGGGTGGCACTGGAAAAACGAATATTCCAGTTGTCTTTATGTACATCTTGGCTTTATTATAAGCTCTTATCCTTTTCCCAGTTGGGCTTGTTCTCTTACCCTCTTTTCCTTCTATATGTTCATCCAATATCCAATATCGTTTTTACGAGCTTTTATAAACCAATTTGATTTCTTTGTGCTCGCTTCTTGATTGTAAGGTATAGGTTCCTGATCTTGGGTAAACTTCTGCGTGGCTCGTCCCGCCACTCGACTGTCATAGCTTTGGTTGACTCCAAAGGGAGTAGTGCTGGGATTAATTATATGTGGTTTGTGGTATGAGGTATGTTAAGACTGTTACTATTGTGAATGGAGTTGATCCTTTCGCCAGTTAGTCCTCCGGTATCGTCGACAAGAGAAAAGAGATAGTAATAATAATAATGATAATAATAGATATAGTTAGTGAAGTTATTCAGACTAACAGACAGAAAAGGAAATAGGAAAGCGTAACAGAGCGTAACATCAGCTTCTGTTCTTCTAGACGACGTATGGTGAATTCTCTCGCACTAATTTCTCCAGACTTCCCTTCAAGTTTCTGAGCACTGATTCCCTTGGAATATTTATCGGCCTAACCGGAGGGCTGCCTCGCGAGACGAAATTTTCAAGCCTCAGAAGGACCAGTCCCCTTGAACGGACCCTGCATTCTTTGATAGGTAAACTAATAAACACCCTCTTACTGCGTTTAGGAAAGCTCCATCACTTGACACACTAGGCCGTGGTGAAATATACCAAAATTTGGGACTATTTTAAAACGACGAGAGACGAGTTTCAGAAGAATAATAGGTTTCTATGCTGGTCACAAAGACATTAAATATTGGAAGACCTTGCCGTTTGTACAAATTGTTCGTTGTAGCGTTATCACGCCTCGAATATAGAAATGAATGAGAAGGTAACGAAGAAGTCCGTGGGTAGGTCTTTGCCTGGGTAAATTGTTATGTATATTTTAGGAGTAAAGAGAAAATTATCTGATGGTTCTAAACCGAAGGTGTCAATAAAAAAGCGTAGGTATCTTCGGCTTCTCAAATGAGTTTCCTTTATAGCCAAATTGCTTCCCTCTGTTCGGTTATCTGACCAGCCTCCAGCACGCAAACCTCAATGGACCAATCGAGAGCGTGTTTTGGTTATCTCTTCCAGAGGCATATCTTATGTTGGGCGTCATCTTATGAAGGATTTGGCACGTATGTTGCCACATAGTAAAACTGACTCAAAACTTGATGACAAAAAAGGGATAACCACTCTTAACGAGTTGGCAGAAATGAGCAACACTAATAAGGTAACAGAGATTTCATATGTTCATTAACTTTATCCTAATTAACCTGACAGAACTAAATTAAGTAAATCGTTCATCGATAACGGTTTTCACGGACTTTGATGAATGACATAGGTCCGAATTATTGTGGTAGTTGTATCTTTAAAGATGCATGCTCCCCTAAGTGAGCTGCTACCACTTATTTTGTCAATGAGTTCAAAACGTTGGTTAGTGCCTTGTGGCTTACGGGTCATTTTCAGATCATCTGTATGATGAATCACAGGTGTTGAATTAATTACTCTTCACTTACAATGCGATGTTCCAGTATAAGTCTGTACTTGTACCAGCCTAAATTTTTCCTTTGTTCTTTTTGAATAAGTAGCATTCCTGTTTGATCTTTTCTGGTGTGTGTTTGCAAATCATAAACTACTTACCAGGCAAAGTACTCTGCTCGCTGTGTTATATTTAAACGTCATTTGAATATGGCAATTGCTTCAGTTACATTTCTTATGGTGCGACGACGTTTGTTTATGTGTAACTCACGATAACCTCTAATGTCATTCCCGAAAGTGTATTTTATTCCTGCTGCACATTTCTGTACATTCGTCGGACGTCATCGTTTAGATCATTATGCAAGTTTGTAAAGATATGTCCGAAGAGCACCAATGTCCTTATCGAGAATAAGCCCCCATGCTATAATTTTCTCAGTATTTGAAAGTGATAGACTTTCGATTGTTCATTAATAGAAAGCGAGAAAACAGATCTTTCTGTTGTCTCCTAGAAGTAACCATCAGTTTTTGTCTTCTATTCTGATAGTATCCTGTTTAACCTCATTCACTACCTTCTACTATGCAAGTTGTTTATATCTGGACCTTATCCCCTTTGTTATGTGGTATAGTAGGGCGAGTAATATTGAGGTTGAGTGTAGAGTGGTAGGTAAGGAGGGGGAATCAGTCGATAAAGTTGTCAAGTTACGCCGATTGAGATGATTGGGACATGTGTTACTCATGCTTAACCAAGGCCTTCCTCGACGGGCAACATTAGCTGATATAGAATTAGGTTGCAAAAGAGCTAGTGGTGGTCAAATCAAAACATAACATCACTCAATGAAATCGTTGGCAGTTAGTTTGAGCTACATATGGAGGTGTAAACTGTCTGGTTGGGTCCTCAGTATTCTAAGGAGCAAATACACTCTTTATGACCTGCCTCTATCTAATAAAGCCTTATTGTTTTTCAGTGTTACTATCGTTCCCCTGTCACATTTCTGCTTATTATCGTACTTTTGCATCTCTTTGGTCTCTACTCCTGTTTTGTGCGATACAAGGAGGAATTGTGGCAAGTTGAAGTGTTGCAATTCTGCGCAAAGTTCTATGCTGAAACTAGTCAGTCAGTGAGGTTGTTCATAATCAACGCTCGCATGTTTTCATCACTGTCAAATCTGGTTAATCCGCTCATCCTTAACATTTAGCTATTAGGGTTGTATGCATTTTGTTGCATAGTGGTATGAATTCAGCTTATAAAGACGATATAGACACTGGTCCGCCGTCTGTAAGTGAGGTCACAAAAGCTATCAGTAATTTGAAACGAGGCAAAGCGGCAGGACCCGACGGAATTATTCCGGAGGTGCTTAAATATGGGGGTGACATACTAGTTTGTGGATTAACTGAGGTACTAGGCAAAGTCTGGGAATCAGAGACGGTGCCATCAGACTGGGGTAAGTCACTTGTTATACCGATATTCAAGAAGAGAAACAAGTCCTCGTGTGATAATCATAGGGGGATCAGCCTAACGAACATAGTCTCTAAAATCCTAGGCTTAGTAATCATGCACAGACTAAGCAGAACTCGGGAGGAACAGACGAGGGAAAATCAAGCAGGCTTTAGACCAGGTAGAGGGTGCATAGATCATATCTTCACTCTCTGACAGATTCTAGAACATAGACACACTTTTCGGCGTCCAACAATTGTCATATTTCTTGACTTGAAGGCGGCCTTCGACTCCGTGGATCGAAAGGTACTATGGCAATGTCTGACTGTAAAGGGAGTGCCAAGAAAGTACATTGCACTAATCAAGGCACTCTATTCAAACTCACGTAGTCGTGTAAGGGCTTATGGGGAATTGTCATCTGAATTGGTAACAACCAGTGGTGTCCGACAGGGATGTCCACTTTCCCCATTTCTCTTTAACTTCATCATAGATATGCTGATGGAAGTATCCTTAACTGAACGTAATGACTTAGGAATCGACTTGTTACCAGGGAATAGTCTTATGGACTTAGAATATGCAGATGACATAGTCCTGTTAGGGGAGAATGCAGAGTCTTCCGAACACCTTGAGCAGCAATCTTCGTATGTTTGGCATGCGATTCGCCCCTGGAAAATGTAAGATGCTGCTACAGGACTGGACTATGTCAACTCCTAGCTTAGTGATAGGGAGTGAAGTGATAGAACATGTTGACCACTTCACCTATTTGGGAAGTTGTATTAGCACCAACGGACTGATTGGCGATGAAATCTCAGCACGGATCCGAAAAGCTCGAGCTGCTTTCGCTGACTTACACCATCTCTGGCGTAGGCGTGACATCCGGTTATCAACCAAGGGACGTGTGTACTGCTCATCAGTTCGCTCCGTCCTTCTCTATGGCTCTGAAACATGGCCAATACGAGTTGAAGACATGAAAAGGTTGACTGCTTTCGATCATAGATGTCTGAGATCTCTGTCTCACGTTAGGTGGTTTAATAAGGTGAGTAATGTTGACGTTAGGCGTAGAGTGTTGGGCAAAGAGGGAAAATCAATCGACGAGGCTATAAAGTTACATAGATTGAGATGGCTAGGTCAGGTGCTGCTCATGCCTAACCATCGCCTCCCCCGACGGGCATTACTAGCTGATATAGGTGCAGGTTGGAAAAGAGCCAGTGGTGGCCAAACAAAAACATGGCATCAATCCATGAAATCCTTGACAGTTAAACTGAGTCAGGTAGGGAGATGCAGACTTCCGGGTTGGGGCCCTCGGGACTCTAGGAATCAATGGCTGGAGACAATAGGTGACATGGCTCAAAATCGTTGTCAATGGCCAGCGCAGATGTATTCAGTCTCTGTAATCTTTCATACTTCTTTCTACCATTACCCATTCTGTTTCACTCTTATACTTGTCAAACTCTATTGATTCTTTTCACTCATCTTCTTGTCTACCTTTGTGTGGTATTTGGAACGTGGCAACTCAAACTGCTGCACTTCGGTGTCAATTTCTATGTTGAATCCAGACAGACAGCATTTTGTTGCAGAATGTTACGAATTCAGCTTATAAAGACTGGCTTTATGAGTGTTTACCCTATCCTATTCGTAACTGACCTATCAGTCTGTATGTTTAACTTTATACTTCTTTCACTAATTGCGTGAAGTCATTTGTATCATTGTCATCGTATTTTTCCAGTCTGATAACCGTACTGATATCAGTTCTGTTTAACTAGATATTGATGCAGGTCTACTCAGTTTCTGTGGGTAGCCAAATATTTAATTCTGCATAAGATGCGGGATTAATCTTACTAATCACCTGACTAAACTCTTATTTCAAGTAAATAACTGACCAATATTGTTTCTTCTTTTTGTTGAAACTTTAATTTTCTGGTTGTCTGTCTTAAGACTCCAAATTGGACACATCAATAATATCTTAATTGTTGGTTTATTTGCTAGTTGGCATCCTATTTTATTTGTTACTCGTCAATAAGGTGTGGTATTCCCAGGAGGACTTGTATCAGTCGTATGTTAATATTGTACATATTAGTCGTTCAGAACGCGGCCTACTTTATTCACGCTTAACCGGTGTAATTATATATTTCCTTTCGATCAATATCTTCCTTGTCTCATTCCTTTAATTTTATTTTCAACCTACACTGGAAACTGAGACCAACTAATCTTTGGTGTACGTTGAATACTTTCTGTTCAGTTGGACTTGTAATGATTAACTGTCTGTTTGTAGTGATAAATACTTGGAAATAGTTACAGGATTTCATTATGAGCTGACATCGGTTAGAAAACCATTGGAAAACCACCTGGGAGTACTGGACATAATATTCTATGCAGTCTAACTACATCTGTTTGTGAATTTCAGTTTTGGGTGTAATAGTTTTTCATTGAAATTTTAAACATGTGGTTTAGCATATCCACTATCTCTATGTTTAACCAGAAATCATGCTTCGTTACATTATAGTGCTACTGTTGTTATAAATAATGTATACATGTTAGTATAAGTGGAAGACATGAAAAGCTTGGTCAGTTGTCTTTGGTCATAGGTACCTGCGTTCCATCTCCTATGTTGGGTGGTATAGTAGGGTGAGCAATATTGAGGTTAGGTATTGGTCGAGTGCCAGATAGGGAGGGGAAATCAGTCGACGAGGTTGTGAAGTTACACCGACTAAGAGAGATGGTTAGGACATGTGTTACGCATGCCTAGCCTAGCCATCGCCTTCCTCGACAACATGTAATGTTAGTTGACATAGGGTTGATTAGGTTGGAGAAGAGAAAGCTAGAGGTGGTCAAACCAAAACTTGACCTCATCAGTCAATGAAATCCACCACAGCTAGTTTGTCAGCCAGCCACGTAGGGAGGTGTCGACTTCCTGACTGTTTGCAGTCCTCGAGATGGTAAAAACCAATGAAGACTGGAGACAATAGGTGATATGACTCAAAATGGTTCTCAGTGGCTGGCTCAGATGCATCCACTCCTTAAGATTTATAATATCCAATAAAATTATATTGTTCTTCGATATTACTATTCTTTTTGCCTCATATCTCTGTTTATTATCTCTCACTTTTGAATCTTTCTCTACTGTCTTCCGTTGCTTTGTGTGCTACAAGAGAGCGTGGCAACTCGAACTGCTGCACATCTGTGCAAAGTTCTACATTGAATTTAAAAAAAATTTTTTTTATTTTTGATTTACAGCTTGATTCCACACTGTATTTTTGGTATAAGTATGGAATTTTCAGCATGGATATCGGTAGCCCAAATTTTGCAGGCCGACCATA